CACATCGCCTCCGCCGCGAGTGGGATCGGCTTTGTCCCGGGCATCCGCAGACCCGTGGGGTCCTGCTGGGGAAGGAGGGAGCCCTTCCCATCTTTCCCTGAACCTTGTTGTCCATCCTGGTGCCCCAGGAACCCTCCGATGCTGAGGGTCTCTCCGAGCCCAGATGGTTGAGGGTAAGATGCGTGTGCCTGGCGGACTGCCGTGGGTGAAAGCGGTTGGGCATTCCCGGCTCGCTTATTCCCCCCTTTTTGTCTTTGCGTAGGAAACACAGCCCTCCTGGGGGCAAACCTGCTGTTCGAGATGCTGTGCGTTCTGCCCAGAGTGAAGACGATGTGAGGGCAGCTCCCGCCTGCCCCAGGGGCAACGCAGCTCCGGCCTCGGCCGAGGCTTTCCGTGTCCTGCTCCCGTCGACCAGTTGCAGTGAGCGCGGGCTTTGCCGTAAGGAATAAATGTCATTTACCACTAGAAAAGGTAATTTTAAGCTGATAAATTGGAGGTAGCAGATGGGTTTGAACAGGCCATTGAACTGGTGTCGGTAGCTTTGGAGTTTGCCTGGGGAAGGGAAAAAAGACGAGGCTGATGGTGCTTCGCCTCTGCTTCCACAGCTGGAATGTCACAGGGACTCGTGGCAAAACCCTCACTGGTGAAAGGTTTCTCCCGTTAAGACACAGCAGCAGGACAAGGAATGTAGAGGACGGGAGGGCAGCCGAAGGTGGCCTGCAGCTCCTTCTGAGAGTAGGGGAAGATTTGCCTGAATTTCCTGCTGGGGATAACCAGGCATTGCCTACGGCAGGAGCGGTTTAATTGTCCCTGGAATTTCTGAGCTGACGCGGAGGTGTGGTTAGTTTGTACACGGAAACACGGAGCCGCCTCATCGCACATTAAAATAAGTTTATTTTGGTTGCGAATCTGTAATTGTCTTAAAACAAAATGACATCAGTGCCGGTTCACAAATACAAAAAAAAACCAAAACAAAACCAAACCAAAGAAGACAAGTTTGCCAAATAAGTTAATTTCCCCCCCTCCCAGTATCAAAAGTGCAAAATCTGTACCTAGTTCTCAGTCCTGCGTCTCAGGCTGCGTTAGGGTACGAGTTCCTGGTGGGCTCTGGGGCAGAGGGGAGCGGGTACTGGGGGGAGGTTCGGTACGACCTTTAGACTGGGCGCCTGGATCCCTTTGCTTCGGCTTCCGAGCGGCGTGCGATTGCTCGGATTCCGCTAGAATAGTGCCCTAGGGCTGAGTTGCCTCAGTTTTCCCATTCCGAGCCGCCACGCGCGTTAACTGAAGCTACGTGACGATACAGGTCGAGCGCCGCTGGAGGCGGCAGGTTAGAAAAGGACCGAGGAGGGTGACGGCTCGCGACTGCTGGGACAGGGTGGATGGACCTCAGGCATCAGCAGCCTCCGACCACGCTCTTCTCCAAGAAAGCAAACGCCCAGTGCTCCCCCGGAGCCAGCTAAGCGAGAGGTTTAGAACAGTTGGCCGTTTGCCTCAGGCCACCAAAGAAGTTTGTCCATAAACCAGCGACACGGTCCCGTCCCGCCACAGCCGGGAAGGGCGGACCGCTGCAAGCACGCCTGAAACAGAACTCGAGTGGCAAAGGGGAGGTCACCTGTGCCAAAAAGAAAATGCCAAACAGGATTCCAGTGGGCGCGCAGCCCGGGAACTATATTGCGAAGGCCACAAGGCCGCCTCTTCTTACTGGGGCAGGGCGGAGTTCCCTTGCCGTAGCACAACTAGGCACTTTTTTGAATGCATCGAGGGTTTTTTCCTGGTTTCTGACTAGCTGAAGAGACAGCAGAGACCCCGAGACCGTTCTTTTTTTTTTTGCTTTTGGTGAACATTTCAAAAGGTAAGCGGAGCCCTCGACCGGGCTGCCGCCTTAATCTAGCCACGTCCTGCACGGCAAGCTGCGGGAAAAGCATGAGAGTGCCACGGCGATTGCGCCAGCCAAATGAAAATGAAGCCTAGCAGCGTCAGGCCAGCGTCTCCTTCCCCCTCTCGCTCTGTTTCCGCGGTCCGCGCGCGCCTTGGAGCTCTTTGGCAGGGAGAAGACCTCGCCTTCCTTCCTCCTCTCTACTTGGGTGCCTCGTTCGTGCGGCAGCGCGAGCTGGGGCCCGGAGTCCGCTGAGCTCAAATTAAGTAGCCTCACATAGGGTCAGTTGGTAGCATCGTAGCCTTTATTCGGAAGTACATTACACACGGCCTTGGAGATACCTCTGGTGGTCGGAGCACGCCAGTCTGCTCCCCGGGCAGGGAAGAACGCAGCAAGGCAAGGGTTTGTGAGCAACAAGGTCACGTCGGCAGTAAAATGACTGGAGCGTTCCCGGATTTTGCACGGGACCGGCAGCTAGCTCAGAGGTCGGCACAGTTATTCAGACTAACTAACTGGCTGCTCCGCTGAGATGGTAACGAAGGCGGCAAGGGTCGAGTGAGCTTTTAATTAACACCACGCGCTCGACCAAGCGCTCCACCGGCTGGTCCAGAGCCCTCCGGCAAAGGCCGCCCCGCTCAGCCCCCCGTGCTTTGGCGGTGCCGTAGCCTAACGGCGACCCGGTACCGCGGGGGGCTCGGTCCTGCGCGGAGCGGCGGGAGGAGACGCAGCAAGTACCAGCCCGGGCAACGGTGTCAGCCCCAGAGCAGCGAAAAGGACGCGCGAATCCCATGGGAATTCAGTCCCGGCTGCGAAGAGGAACCCTGCGGCTTTGCTTTATCGCCGGAGGAGCGGAGAG